TTGCATTGCAGGGAGCCTGAACGCTTCTGAGATGAACAGGTCTTTTCTGCTGGTCTTGTGTCTAGTGACACTGTCTAATGTACAGCTGGGACAGTCTCAATGTGATGGTAAGGGAATAGATAACACTTGGCATCACAATTTTGCCCTGCACAATACTGAATGTGTTTGCTGCAGTTGTGAGGATTGCTGCAGCTGTGTATGAAGTTGTAGGACCAGCTTTGGAGACTATGCAGAAAGACATGAAGAATATTAAGTCTGACATGAAGAATATGAAGTCTGACATGGCAAGCCTCAGCCAAAAGGTTGATAATTTCACACAAGAAGTTGAGAATCTTGACACCAGACTGGGTTCTCTGAATGAATCAATGAGAGATGATTTCAGTGGTGTTGAGAGAGGGTTAAATGGTCTCAATAGCACAGCCAACATGATATGTGACAAGATCAAAGATCTTCCTGTTTACACATGTGGAGGAACATGGGGTTGGAGACGTGCAGTCTACCTGGATATGACAGACCCCAACACCAACTGTCCCTCTGGCTGGCAGCTCACTGGATACTCCAAGAGAACTTGTGGCAGAGTTAGTATTGGATCTTTTACCTGTGACTCAGTCTTCTTCCCTGTCAGTGGAGGACCATACAGTCAGGCGTGTGGTAGGATCAGAGCCTACCAGTATGGACTGCCTGAAGCCTTCTTGGGGTATGGTGGACAAACTACAATTGACAGTGCCTATGTCAGTGGTGTGGCTGTAATGCATGGTAGTCCTCGACAACACATCTGGACATTTGCAGCTGGTGCATGGGAGAATGGTACAGCATCAGGAGCCTATAACTGTCCCTGTGACATTAGTGCTAATAATATACCCATCCCAGCATTTGTAGGGGAAGATTTCTTCTGTGAGTCAGGGTATGTGTATCCTGGGTATCGCAACACCACAGACTGGTACAGACTCCACTCCGATGACACTCTCTGGGATGGTGAAGACTGTCACTCCACCAGTACATGTTGCTCTTTCCACAATTCTCCATATTTCACCAAAACCCTCAACCAGACAACTACCGATGACCTCGAACTGAGAATGTGTTCATATTATCCCAATAGAAACGAGATCATAGCAGTGGAACTAGTTGACTTGTATGTAAAGTAGCTAAAAATATATTCGAAGTCCATAATGGACTATTGTACCAATACAAACTGGACTATATAGTGTTTCTGGAAACTAGTGTAGCATGAAAAACTTAGGAGAGTTGCGTGTACGCATGCGCATAGCTTTTGCGACACGCGTCCGAAAATAACGAAATATTGACCGGTTCCAGCTATAAAAGCTTTGCGCTGCAGCGACAGCTCCCTCTCTGCCTTAGAGCTGCCTCTATTGCAGGGTGGAACCCCTTCAGCCCACCGCTCTTGTCTCGCTCTTGCATTGGAGCTCAGGCTGTGTGCGCGGCCTCATGAACGAGAGGAAACACAGCAACACAGCACACAAGAGGTTGAGAAACTTGACACTAGACTGAGTTCTCTGAATGAACCAATGAGAGATGATTTCAGAGGTGTTGAGAGAAGGTTAAATATCACAGCCAACATGGTATGTGACAAGATTGACGAACCTGACAATAATGACAAATCACTACTGAACTAATCGGAAGAACCAAAGCCTGACAGAACAGATCGTTAATAATAGTGTCAGTTATGCATGTGGAGGTACTGCAAACTGGAGACGTGCAGTCTACCTGGATATGACAGACCCAACTGTCCCTCTGGCTGGCAGCTCACTGGATACTCCAAGAGGACTTGTTGCAGAGTTAGTACTGGACAGCGGACATGTGACTCAGTCTTCTTCGGTCAGGTGTGTGGCGGGATCAGAGCCTACCAGTATGGATTGCCTGATGAGTATGTGTATCCTGGGTACCACTGCTATGTTGCTATGGAACTGGTTGAGTTGTACATCAAGTAGCTGCGTATTGTCATTCACTTTATATATTTGTTAGTATTGATTGTAGAAAAAGGCTCAAGTTGGGCTCAATATTATATACACACATGTTTTTACGTTCTACAATGTGGATTTGATTCATGTCCACATCATCATTTTATCACGGCACGTACGAACGTGCTGTAGTTGCTGTACCTACTGCACATGCGCTCAGGTGTGGTTGCCATGGAAACTACCAGTGCACCAAACAGCAGGAGGAGGGAGTAACGAAGAATGAAGTGGAATCTCCTCTGACGAAGTGGTTCA